TTGATAAAAGAAGCAGGTTACCTGTTGTCTGCTATACTGAAGCTCTCCACTTAGCAAACTAAGACATGTCAAGAACTGTGACGTATTCTGAGAGGAACTGACCTATTTCCTGCCCTACCTCTTTTTTTCTTTTTTTCCACATCCAGAAAAAGTGGCGCACCACAAGATATCGGGCTTCCCCTAGGACTAAGCCTCGGGGGTGGGCAGGAGCTACGAAAAAGATGAAAATCACTCACTCTGGAGTCTCCCCTTCCTCCGCCAAGGCTTAGTCCCTTTTCTAACAGAAAACGGTTTTACTTACGTGCGTTATCGTCGCATGCTCGCATCTCTTGCGATAGGGCCTTATTTTGTTTGTTTTGTTGTTTCTTCGAAGCTTTAGATGAATGTTGGTTCTTAACATGTTCTGGTTTGTTTGCTGTTAGAAGGCGTTGCTCTTTTTAACACGTTTTGTTTCGTTAGCACGTTGCAGCAGCAGATGCCCCGCCGTCGGACAACAGTTCATCCCCGTATCTTGCACTATTGCTCAAAATATTATGAAGTCAGAAGAAAAATACGAGCAGAATGCGTAGGATTGAAAGCGTTGGCCCTGGGTCCAAACACGCGCGTTTAAAGGAGCGTAAACTTGAACCAGGTATTAGCAAGTATGCAACCACGACATGAACAGAATGCATACGTTCTGATAAAATGCCCCCGTATATTGCGTCAGCGCCTTGATATCTAATGGCCTGCCTTTTCTTCATAAACTCCGCTTCGAATACCACTCATCCATTATAGCCCTTGAAGAAAACAGGATGGTGTTAGCGTGCACGGGATTGGGAGCCTGAGGCTTAGTCAGCCGTATTCAGGAAAAGAAAGTTCTCTTTGGCTTTTTTTGAGTACATCAAATCGAGGCGTTTTTAGGATGCAAAATTTAGACCAACCTTTCGTTATCATTAGCAACGGCCGGAGCGTATCGTGTTCGTTGGGTGAATAAAATATTAGCTAGAAGTGTCGACAAAGTTCTGTGGGCCACCTCATCTGATGCCAGGTCAAATGGGAATAACGTGTCTTCAGTTGCTGTGACAACACCAATCTGAGCACGAAAAATTTTACGTATAAGTTGTTTTGTAGAAGCTATTAATCAGCAGGAAGTTTTGTTTCGTAAACTGACCGTCCGTCCTTCCCTGATTTCAAACCATCTCTTCTTCTTTCCATTGAATTTCCACCTTTGCAGAGAGTATGCACTGAAATGAGGTACAATAATCAGCTATCAACCATGATAAACACGAATCTTCCGAAAAATCTACTTCACGCTTACTTTTGAGCGTCATCAAACACGATTTGGAAGTGAGGTCCAAACACCCCTCTGTTCTCGATCACACATTTCCAGAAGTAATGACGAATCAATGACCTGAAAGGAAAGGAAGGCTCAACAGCCGCTAACATGCGAAGTGTATCTCCTAATGATATTAACCTTTTCGGGTTAACTTCGCCCTCACTCTATCTAAAGTATGCGAGAAACCATTACTCTCACAAAACAGTGCAGGAAAGATCACGCACTCTTCGGGGCTGGCATCACGAGTGAGCCAAAGCAGCTCCATACTTATGGAAAGTACTGGCTTCCTTAAAGGAATCCTTCCACGGAAAAAGCTCCGCCCTCATTACCACAGAAAACGATACCTTAAAGGAATCTTCCACGGAAAGAGTGATCATTTTGTCTTGTGTGTAGGATTAGTATTATCGAAACTAACGCTTATGTTCCGTTCTTTTTGCTATGCTCATGAGGCTAGGGGCCTAAGGGTATCGTTTTTCTAGGGGTAATGGAGGCGGAGCTTTTCCGCGGAGATTCCTTTGAAGAGAGGCATTTTCAGCATCGCTTTGGTAAAATACGCTCTCGAAGAATCGTCGTGCTTGAAGAAATCCTTGGCGGAAAATTCTTAGTTATTACGATACTTTCAAGAGGAGTGTATCAGCTGTGATCACTACATGCAATACACAAAGTTTCAAGCAAGATTCGGTTTCCGAAGAGAAAAAACTCACGAAAATCCACTCCATGGACACTCAAAGGCAGGGTCAAACTGTCATGCGAGCCCCCCCGATCCCCTCCTCTCGAGGAGGGACCAGTTGCGACCCCTCCCAACACACAGTTGCGACCCCCCAATACAACCAGCCTTCCTCCACCGCGACCTCTCCCTCTTCTATAGTATTTGATTCTGAGACCAGTTGACAACAGCCCAAAACCTACCTAAAACTCCCGAAAAGCCCCCACGTTTCCCACAAAA